CCTACCCAGGGGGTTGGAGCCACACCTCACCAGTAAAACGACACAGATCTTCCGCCCGTAAATCCCAGTTTTCCCTCATTTCTTCTCTAAGTGCTCTGGCCTTTGTGCAGCTCATTACCATATGGAGTTCATCTTCCTTTTTTACTTCCGCAAATATTACAGATATTATCGACCACAAGTGTTATCTTCCTCTTATTCTCCTTTCTGGGTAGTGTTTCGGTTGCCAACCGCCATGCAAATATCCTAACTTTCTCTGGTACCTTTACGTTCCATATGAGATCCCATATGCTTCTATTATCCGCCTCATTACTTGATCTTGATGGCGTCATGTTACCCTGATGTTTCATATTTGCGCCAAGCCTGTAGGCACTTCAAACAGAGAACACACCCGACTTCTCCTCGTTCCATGCAACACAATCCTCCACCATACTCGATGGGATGTTTATTTTACATATTACTTCCGCATCGTACTTATGAAATAGTTGATGCACGAGGGCTTCGTCGCACTCTTTACTCCCCTGGCTTCATTTCCTGGTTCACCAACCTCAATCTTGACTGACTTTTAAATACTGTGATCTTTAGGGCACTCCTCCTGGGGACCCATTGGTCCCTCTGAATTTGAATATTCTCCCCATGTCCCACTCTCCAAATTAGTCCTTTTTCAGCAATTCTAGTCCATGTTCAATTCCTCTCCATGATTGCGAGGCGTCTGAAGAAAACATGGTGTCAAGGAGCTCACCTCTAGGGTAGTATTTTGATTTAAGGACCCTTGCACAAAGACTATTAGGATTTCGAAGAAGACGCTGCCTTGTCGCGCTAAGAGGGCTTGGTTGAAGATGTGCATTACCAGGGTGCTAAACCTTTATAATGGGTTGAGGGGCACATTACTTAGCCCCAAACCAATCTAATCTCAAGTCTCTTTTGCTTGGCACCTCCTCCAAAAAGCTTTAGTTGCAAATGACGAGCATGGGCGCCGCCATGAACAATAAGTTTTCATCGACCACCAACCGCATCATCCCTTTCCCCAACCTTGATGAAGTGGTGCCCGCTGGATGGGAGGACTTGAGGAAGCTGAGCCTTAAGGATGAAATTCACCCGGAAAAGGAAACCGGCAACAAGGTGAAGGTGCTCAAGATCAAGGAGGAAGAACTGATACAAGAAGGAGATAACGAATCCACTCTAGATGATTATCCTCCAAACCCTTATTCGTTTAGCATCCTGGGATCTATTCCGATATTTCCTCTTGGACCTCCACAAAAGAAGTGGGGAAATGAACCACCTACCCCGGTGTAGATAACGGAAAATACCAAGGATTTGGATCAAGTTTCTAAGGCTTATGTGAACACTATTGGAGAGGGTACTGATTCTTATTGGTTGATGAGCAAAGACCTAGAAGCAAGGGTGAATGGCATCGTCCATAAGATCGGACTCATGGATGACACCATAAATCAAAACGTTGCACAACTTGAGTTTTCAACCCAGGTTATAGATCATCAGCAAGCCGTGATAGAGGAGATGAGGGAGCGGTTCAGGAACATCTTCACCACCTACAAGGATACCCAGGAGTGAGCATGAAATGTTGAGTACTTGGATCTCCCTGGCTTGATTGTAAGCTTGGGGGAGATTCACGTGTACTTTCTATATTTACTTTCAAGCATTTCTTTTCAGCAAGTCGAGATTAACTCGCATTTTTTATTTTTCAATAAAGGTTAACTATTGATTCTCTTTTGAATAAGGGATGATTCTTCCCAATGAGTATTTGGATGTCTTGATGTGTGAGATCATTATTGCTTTCTTGAGAACGTATAGGTTGTGACATAAATAGTAGCACATAATCACTTGCATGGTGATTATAAGTACTCCACATTGCAGTGGTGAACAATGTAAGAGATTGTTTATACACATGCTACTCCCTATGTCCCAAAATGTAAGACATTGGTTTTACACTATGATAGTGTAAAAAAACGTGTTATATTTTGGGACGGAAGGAGTAGTTCATTGGAAGTTCAACTGATAAAAGGGTAAGCAAAAAAATGAATAAAACATGTTAAGAAAAAGTTTTTTCTTAAAGGAGTTCTCCCGAGGGTCATGTTTAGCTTACATATCACATAAGATTGAAATGTGAGATGGGCTCTTAAACATGTTGCAATGACAAGAGACAAAACATTTAAATTAAAGAATCTCTTAAAGAAATAAAGGAGAAAGAGATGCAACCCTCTTGTTCTTGCCTGCTTGAGACAATGATGAACTAAGTTATGAAGTTGTTACCTGTCCACAATAAAATTGAGTAACAATGCGTGCATGCTGATACATCTCCAACGTATCTATAATTTTTGATTGTTTCATGCTATTATATTATCAAATCCTGGATGCTTTAGATGCATTTTTAAATTATTTTTGGGAACTAACTACTAACCTAGTGCCTAGTGCCAGTTGTTGTTTTCTGCTTGTTTTTGGTTTGCCAGAAAATCAGTACGAAACAAAGTCCAAACACTATGAAACTTTTTGACGATTTTTCTGGACATAAGAGACCCTAGAAGCTTTGGGAGGAGACTAGAGGACAAACGAGGAAACGACAAGGCAACAGGGCGCTCAGGAAGGTAGAACTACAAGTCTCTAGTGAAAACTATGCCCCCCCTGGTCTACTTTTATCATTTTATAAAATCCAAAAATACCTTGTTGCAATTTATTTAATTTTTTTTTGCAGTTTATTTATCTACCTATAAAAGATTTGATCCTTGCAAGTAACGAGTTCAACGAGATTGACAACCCTCTTGCCCGCGCTGCGTGCAAGTATTTGCTTTTTTGTGTTTAGGTGCTGTTCACGAGGCTTTGCATGATTCTCCTATTAGTTTGATAAAGCTCTTGGTTCTCACTTGGGGGAATACTTATCTCTACTGTATTGCATCTCCTCTTCGGGGGAAATCCCGACGCAGCTCACAAGTAGCATATGCCTCCATGATCATTGTCATAGTGAGGATGAGTTATCATTTGTAATAATTCTTTTATTCCTATTCATTCCTATAACAAATGATGCACTCATGTTTCTTTCATATCCGTATCACGTAGATATCAAGTTGACCTTATTCTTTACAAGCTACAATACTTGCTCGGGGATGAGCAAGAGTTAAGCTTGGGGAGTTGATGTCTCCAATTCATGTGATGATTTTGATAGTTATTTTATGCCTCTTACCGGTAGTTAATGAGGGGAAACCATATTAGGCTTCCTTATAAGAAGGGAAAGTGCAATGTTTGCAGTAAAACATTGGCGCAAATGGCAGAGATGTGCAATGTGTGTGGCACTGGTATTCAACCATACAAGGATGATGGCCAAGAATTTGATGTATTTGAGGCGATAGTTTCTTACGATCACTATATGATGATGCTATGCTTACATTTGATATATTTCTTGATTCATGTTTGTTTCCGTAGTTTCTAACATAGTGCAACCTCACGATCCTAAAATGTATGGTTCCAGGGGATTCCATGTTCATTTCAACAAGACTTTCAAGAGGGGACTCAGTGTGTGCACGACTGACGGATGCACTACTATTTCAAGATCATGGATACAAACAATGAAACGTTTCTCAACGGTATTGGTTGGGATTGTTAGGGGTGTGACTATGCCATAAAACTAGGAGATACATTAACTTTTACAATGGAGCCGCACCTAGACCAGTTCTACTTAAAGCAACCGGAAGTGATGGATTGCAAAGCTTAATGCCATGTGTACATATTACATATAAATTGTTTTAGATGTGCCTAGTTGTTCTTGGTTTATTTATTGACCATTACTTGTACAACCAGCGACTTCTATCATGGCCGGAGGGTGGTAGTTTCAAGCAATGATTTAACACTAAGTCATGCAAGAACGACAAAGGTCAATTCAATTTTGAGACAAAATGGCAACAATATTGTCCAAATACATAGAATTATAAATACCAATATTGATGACAACATTATCCTGAGTATCGAATACGATTTAAAAGTTTTACCTACAATTAGGTTTGTGTTTGTTTCTTGTTACTTTTTGCTACAGGCCATCCAAGTTGCCATAGTCAGAGAAAACGGCGTACCTCCATCTGGTAGCATGTTCTTTGCAAAAAGAGTATAATTGTGTTGCATCGTACTATACTAAGGACGATGGGAAGATATACATATATGGGGCGGGATGGCACGAGTTTGCAGAAGTAAATGATATTGATACATGCATGATATGCTTGTTGGTGATTGGGTATGACTACGATGAGATGTGTGATTCAATTTGGTTTCAAGAAATATGATTTAGCAATAGGCATCATACGGGTAGCTACTCATTTCAATAACCCTATTGGTCTTGTAATCGATATAACACTATCCTATCATGGCTCTAGTGGATTCGATATAGAAGTGTCATTGATAAATCGTAATGTTACTTACATGCTCAAGGTCGTCAAGCGATATCTTCTTGAATTTCTTCAAAACCTTCTTGTGGTCACACTAGTCGTATGGCTTCATCAGTTCTTGCTGTAAAAACAGTACTTGGTTGACAGTAAAACGGTGATGCATTGAATATCTGCAGAAGACAGTGAACTAACGATTGTTAGCTGGTCAAGTATGTGTTTCCTCTTTGACCCATCGGTTGCCATCATTGCAACATTGCATAACCATTGGAAGTTCCTTTCAAACCTCGCCATTTGGCACAAGCATGTCAATGAATTCCTGTTCAAAAACATGATTTCTCTGAATTCTGACCTTGGTTGATGATTCGGCGGTATCAAGAGAACTGGCTCACCTTCCTCTTTTTGACCTCCTGAGCTTCGAGTTTGTCAGATAATGTTTGTAAGCATCGCTTGCCGTGGTACGGTCAACCGCTGGCTGGACTCATGGAACTTTGACCACCCAGAATGGGCTGCTCTAGCTCTGATACGCTTGTACCAGACGGGGCAACAATTGACATGCGGTTCAGACTCAATTGTTTGGCTCCAGATTTAATAGCACGCAATCCTGCATTCAGTTAGTTAGTGAACTTCATATATATGTATATGGATATTTAGTGAGAGATTATAATTCATGTTTTCATGAAGTGTAAATGAGGTATATTTGCTTTTTGGGTTCAACTTATGTATTTTGGATAGTGGCACCTCGTCACTGTTAACTTCATTTTTAGCATCAACATCCGAGCTACTATCATGTGACACATTCTTGGCCTTTGGGGTTCCCACTATGTCAGCTTCTTTGCCATCAGTTCCATGAGTTTTTATCGGTTCTAGAGTGCCTTTGCTACTGCTTTCAATACAATGGTTATCTCCCCCAGTTCGAGCTTCACGTTTCTGATGCATGTCGTCTGCTTTGTTGTTTCTATGTATGTCAGATGTGCCAACATTTACATTTTGTTGCCCAATACATGTGTTGGCTGGAACTTTAGGTGAATTGCCTGAAGCCACAACACAAGTACTCTGGATAGATGATAATGTTGAATCTGTGACATTACAAGATACAAGATGATCAACCTGTTGACACCCAAGCACTGCTTCAACATCATCAACTAAAGGATTGACGCTTTTTATGATATATGTTTTTGTGTTCTTCTCATGCACCAAGACCTCTCCAGTCGAGCACTTCTCAATCTCGTTGTGCAACTTGGCAACAACCTCTTCTGCATAAACATTGGAAACATTGTTATCAGAGATTTGGTGTTGTTTTGTCACGAGGTTTGGGTTTCTGTCCTCCACACGCATGGCTGCTAGAGTTGGGAGCCCATCAGTGACTACCTCATTGACTTCTGTTCTCTCGATACTGAATTTGCCAGCATCATTGCTGCGCAGCTCCATACAAGCTGCGCGAGATAATGTTTTCTCGTTTATCAGGTTCTCCCGTCCTTCACCCTATCCATCATCTGAAGAATATGGACGGGCAACACCTGTTAGATCACGAGCAGTAGCTAGCTTGACATCGCGTGAAGAACTGAGCAACCTCTCATCGTTATTGCTTACAGTGAGTGTGTCGCCCTTTCTTGTTGTTGACGGACGATTCGAAAGGTTTGCCGCAACATCCAACGATGATTTTGGCTTTCCTGCGTTGAAGTCAGCTTGTCTACATAAACCTAGTAGAACAAGCATGTCAACTCTCCTCTTCTTATCTAATTCTGTAATCCTTATCATTATTTCCTTTTTCACCTGATCTTTCGCTAACATACACTCCATCTCGATCCACTCAATGGAAACCTTGAGGTCATATAAATGTGATCACGCATACGTTAATTATTTTGGTCTAACATATACTTGGCAAGACACAAAAGGCAGAAAGACATTCAGAATGTCTAGGCTTGCCCCTGTTAGTTCTGGACTAGCGAGTTCCCCAATCTGTGGTTAGTTCGGTCTTTGATGCTCAAATCATCCTCGTCATCGCTTAAATTGTCTGCATTGATAAGGCTGTTAGGTTGATCTCTATCCCGTTCGAACCCAACGGGTCGAACGGGCCCTCGACTCGTGCCCTGATCGGGGGCGCCCAACCAAACCATGGTTGGTGGCCCCCTGTGACCCGCGCTATATAAACAGAGGTGGGGGCTGGGGCACGACTTACGAGGTTAATTGCTACCACAATCCCCACCGACACTCCCTTCCGATCTAGGGTTAGTGTGGCGCTCACGGGAAGCTCCACCACCGCCGCCATCTCTCTGCCATCACCGGCCCCTACTTCACCATGGCCGGCGCTGCATCGAGTTCGTCTGCAGCAGCAGAAGGTAGGTGTACCGGAATGATCTAACCTATCCGATCCAAAGCAATCTATCAATGGTATCATCCTTCCCCAAAGAACCCTAGAAGGGCAAAGAAAAGCAAACAAAAGAACAAAGTTTTCACTGGAGAAGGGCCTCGGGCCTTCGCCGGCAAAGTGCGCCGCCACAAGGCCACGCCTGTTCCGCTCGATCCCGTCGCACATCTGCAAGCCGAGGCGACAGGGATGAAGAACCTACCCCGAAAGGGGCAAAGAGCACAACAGCCACGCTGTTCGACGGCGGCGCGCTTCCGCTAAGGGAAACGCGTCACAGGCGAAGGGGAGGCAACAACGCCACCGTCGTCGAAGGGGAGCAGAGCAGGATGCAGTTGTGTGTCTCCCTCTCTCTATGAAAGGTGGCGCGAGGGGAGCAAGGGTGGCTTCGACCTCGCATCTCTCTCTCTCTCTGTCTAAGGAAGCAAAAAGAAGAAAAGGTGCTCGCGCGGCGCCGTGGCGACGTCGTGCTCAGCCAGTGGGAGCGGCGAGAACGAACCGAGCGGCGCGCGGGGGGAGGAAATGACTAGGGTTCCCCTCGCCCCTCACCGCATCGATCGATTTTGATCAGGCGAAAACGACGCTGGTCCGTCGGATCGCTATGGATGGGCTTGATTGAAACCCTAGTGCGGTCGCTGGCCATTGGGCCGAAAGAGGAGGCACGAGCTAGGCCGAGGCCGCCAGCAGCGGGCGCCGCCGCGCGCGCTGGGCCAAGGCCAGCAGCCGCGGGCGCTGCCGTGCGAGCTGGGCTGAGGCCGGCTATGCTGCAGTTTATTTCTCCCCTTTTTTTATTTATTCTCTGTCATTTTCTTTTATACAATTTTATTCAAGAGTGAGAGAAAAAGTTTCTGAAAATGCAAATAGAAAATTTTCAGAAAAGAAATGTTCATGAATTTTATAAAGAAAATTAAAAAAATCATGATTTCTTATTCGGTAAAAGAAAAGTTTCTGTAAAATAGTAAAAAGTTCATGAATTTTTATTCATGTTTTTCCGCTGCGTAAATAATTAATGGTGCTCTTTAACAAAAGTTTCGATAGAATTAAGTTTTTAAGAGCATGTTAAAGTGATTATTAGAATGAATATGATTATGTTATGTTTATGACCAACATTATTAATAACATGATCATGTTTTATTATTGAAATTTAAAGGTGCATTTATTTCTAATTTTTTCCCAACGGTAATATAGATTTAATTGCATAGGCAATTATATGTTTAATTTGACCAACGTTAGATTAATGCATATGATTGTTATATTGATGTCACTTAAATTGTGATTTCAGGAGGCTTTCACTTGATGAGTTGCCTAAAAGAAGTTTCGACACTCAGAGGTGACAATCACACTGAGTGGAGGAAGAAAGTTGAACTGGCATTTGTCTGTGCTGATCTGGATTGGGTTCTGGATGAACCACAGCCAGTTAGACCTACGGAGCCAGTAAGAGAGACCACTGATGATGATGATGCATGGGCGAAAAAGAGGGGGGGATTATGCTCCTTTGGAGATGTCCTACATCATAGAAAACCAAAAGTGGGTCAATGCAAACAAAAAGTGCATGTCCTTTATAAAGAATACAATTGAGAGCACCATTGTGGGCTCCATTGCAGAGTGCACTTCCGCAGGGGAGTTTCTTACAAAGATAAAGAGCCAGTTCACTGGCTCTTCAAAGATATATGCCACTCAGGTGTATTAAAACAACTGGTGACAGAACAATACACAGGTGGTGGAATAAGAGAGCACATCCTCAGGATGAGCAATATGGCAGCAAAGCTAAAGCCCATGGATGAGGATCTGGAGATCAAACCAAAGCTCCTGGTCCACCTGGTCATGGCTTCACTGCCAAAGGAGTTTGAAACTTTTGTTGTGAACTACAATATGTCACCTGGAACATGGGACATTGAAAAGACAATAGCGATGTGTGTCCAAGAAGAGGACAGACTAAAAGCCTCACTTGGTGGCACACTCAACTATGTGAAGGATCACAAGAAAAAGAACTACAATCAAAACAACAAAAGTTCTCCTTCAAAGCCATAAGGAAAAGCTCCCTATCAGCATCAGCGTCAGCAACAGCCTTTCCCAGTGGACAAAGACACTTGTCTCCACTGTAAGCAGACCGGGCATTACAAGAAAGACTGCCCTGTTTGGCTGAAGTCCTTAATGGCAAAGCAAGGTAACAACATTGTTTCCTTAGTTAATGAATCCTTGTACACACAGTTTTCGAAATCTACTTGGTGGATTGACTCAGGGGGAACTGTTCATGTTGCAAATTGTTTACGGGGATTCCATTCCACCCGGACTACGCTAAGAAGAGAAAGAGGCATCGAAGTAGCCAATGGAATTCAAGCGGAAGTTGAAGCTGTCGGCGACATCTCCTTGGAGTTAGCTGATGGATTCAAGCTTCTACTTAGAGATGTTCTTTATGTTCCTTCATGTAATAGAAACTTAATTAGCGTTTCATGGATTGACTCAGGGGGAACTGTTCATGTTGCAAATTGTTTACGGGGATTCCATTCCACCCGGACTATGCTAAGAAGAGAAAGAGGCATTGAAGTAGCCAATGGAATTCAAGCGGAAGTTGAAGCTGTCGGAGACATCTCCTTGGAGTTAGCTGATGGATTCAAGCTTCTACTTAGAGATGTTCTTTATGTTCCTTCATGTAATAGAAACTTAATTAGTGTTTCATGTTTGGACAAAGAGAATTATGAGTGTTATTTTGGACATGGCAAGTGTGCCATATGGTATAATAATGCTTATGTGGGTAATGCTTTACTACACGATGAGCTTTATTTGTTATCACTTCGTGAAAAAGTGCATTCTACATGCAATGTGAATGAACATGTTTCCGCGTCGAATAAAGAACAAAAGAAAAGAAAGAGAACATTCGACTCATCGAAATTATGGCACTGTAGCTTGGGCAATATTTCGAAGGGGAGAATAGAAAGATTAGTCAAAAGTGAAATTCTTCCTCCGTTAGAATTCTCAGACTTATAACAATGCGTAGATTGCATTAAAGGAAAGTATATAAAACAAATCAAAAAAGATGCAATCCATAGCACAAGCACACTAGAAATCATCCACACTGACATTTGTGGACCATTTCCGGTGAAAAGCATGGATGGATATGACTCGTTCATAACATTCACAGATGATTACTCTTGTATGGTTATATTTATCCAATCATAGAAAGATCTAAAGCATTGGATAAATTCAAAATATTCAAAGCTGAAGTTGAAAATCAACATGATAAAAGAATAAAGATAGTAAGGTCCGACCGTGGGGGAGTGTACTACGGTCGGCACACTCCATATGGCCAAGTCTCTGGACCTTTTGCAAAGTTCTTGTAGGAGACTGGCATAGTAGCCAGTATTCAATGCCAGGCGAGCCTCGGCAAAATGGAGTAGCTGAAAGGCGCAACCGTACACTTATGGATATGGTGCACAGCATGATGAGTTATTCCAACTTACCGTTGGGATTATGGATGGAGGCGCTTAAAACCGCCATTCACATTCTCAATAGAGTACCAAGCAAGTCGGTGCCCAAAATACCGTACGAGCTATGGACAGGAAGGGTGCCCTCGCTACAACACTTCAGGGTGTGGGGGTGCCCTGCTGAGGCCAAAATGTTTAATCCAAACATTGCAAAGTTAGATCCCAAAACAGTAAGTTGCCACTTCATTGGCTATCTAGACAGATCAAAAGGTTTTCGTTTCCACTGCCCAGACAGATATACAAAGTTTGTAGAAACGAGACATGCAGTCTTCTTTGAGGACGAAATGATGAGGGGGAGCTTCGTAGCTCGGAAAATTGATCTTGAGGAGAAGAGGGTGCATGCTCCTAATCCGATGATTCAGGAGGCATTTTTCCTACTACCAGTTGCAACTCGACCCATGAAAACTATGGGAGCAGACCCGGAACCTGTCCGACAGGAGCCGACTGAACCCGTTGTTGAGCATGAAAGGGAGGTGCAACAGAAAATTTTAGAAGAAGTGCTAGAAGTTGAGGCACAGAATGTGCCAGAAACTGAGGCCCTTAGAAGGTCTACAAGACCAAGAAAGTCAGCTATTTCTACTGACTTTAAAGTTTATAACACAGAAATGGTTCATATGGAAAAAGATCCCACCTCATATGAAGAAGCCATGAGAAGCCCTCATTCATCAAAGTGGATGAAGGCAATGAAAGACGAGATGAAATCGATGAGTTCCAAAGATGTTTGAGACTTAGAGGAAATTCCTAAAGGAGCCAAAATAGTAGGCTGTAAATGGGTCTACAAAATTAAGTATGACTCTAAAGGGAATATAGAAAAGTATAAAGCACGACTCGTGGCAAAAGGATTTACACAAAGAGAAGGGATAGATTACAATGAGACATTTTCTCCAGTCTCATGTAAGGATTCCTTCAGAATCATAAAGGCATTAGTTGCTCATTTTGATCCAGAGTTACATCAAATGAATGTTAAGACGACATTTATGAATGGTGATTTAAAAGAAAAGGTCTACATGAAACAACCCAAGGGTTTTATCATGGAAGGCAAGGAAAATATGGGATACCGCCTGAAGAAATCCATTTATGGATTAAGACAAGCCTCTCGGCAGTGGTATCTAAAGTTTAATCAAACAATTAAAAGTTTTGGATTTAAAGAAAATATTGAGGATAATTGCATTTATGCAAAGTTTAGAAATGAGAAATATATTTTCCTAATCTTGTATGTGGATGATATCCTGCTTGCTAGTAGTGATGTTAGTCTACTACAAGAAACCAATAAATACTTATCCTCAAATTTTGACATAACAGATCTTGGTGAAGCATCATATCTTTTGGGCATAGAAATTCACAGAGATAGGAGCAATGGAGTCTTAGGACTATCGCAGAAAGCATATTTAGAAAAGGTTCTTAAAAAGTATAATATGC